TATAGGTCTTCTTCGGCTCTCGTTACCCTCTCCACTGCTGTTTGCCTCTGGGGTGCGTGAGTTATCTGTCAAGAAGTCACCCCATCTTGTCGCTGTCCCGTCATCGTCGACCCCATTTGCTTTAGCGTAAACAGGGCCTGGTTTGAATTTGCTCAACAGATCATCAAGCAGCCCTGCCTAAGGGGATACTGCACCTCTTAAGTTCTACACAAGGGGAACAACATCAAGGAAGCAGACAAAAAAAAACAGCAAGTGAAGAAACCTGACACCAAGAGGCTTTACAGACTAGATAAACACAGAAATGATTCAAATCTACCAAACGGATTTGATTTTTGGTCTATAGGTTCTCGATGACACCCAGACAATCCCTAACTCAATGGGATCAAAACCTTTGACTCCAAGAATGACCTCATAACTTTACAGAGAGAAAGTGGTCAATTCGGGTTCACTCTCGATCTCATCTGTAGAGAACGAGAACATGTTAAATGGTGCTGTTCTTCGCCAGTGCATGGATGGTGGTGCTGGTAGAAACAGAAGAGGCCGTTCACTCTAGCTTGCTCGCTCCCTCCCTGGGTAATGATGTGTTTCACTCTGCTTTAGCCCCTGGAGACTCTTGGTTGAGTGAGCACATCCCCCTTGCAGCCATCCATGCCCCCCCCCCCCCCCCCCTTCCTTCAACACACACACTCAAATGTCCAGACGCTACACTCCTCTGTCCCTCACCGCTGTTTCTCCACTTGTCCTCTCTTGCCCTCTTCGTCTCCTTACTCCTCAGCTAGCTGCGACTCCACACTTCCCTCACTCCCTCTCTTCCATGTCCTTGTGTGGCTTTTTCTGTATTTTCCCGTGCCTCCTCCATCGCTGTCACACTCATTTGCTCGCCTCATCTTTTTGCTGAGTGGGTGGAGCCCCGATTCAACAGCTCTGTCATCGTGTCTCCGTTTTGTCAGATTGCCAAATTGGCTACTGTATTTAAATCACTCACACTCTGCCAAATCCCATGAAGTAATTAAGAACTTTTAAATCCGGCAATTAACATGTAAAGATTAGGGCTACCCGCTTGTGCTCAGGGTTTTAGTGCAGATGCTGATAATGCTGGATAAGCAAAAGCAGTTTCCTCTGAGCGGGGGCTGCTGTGGGGGCAGGGGCTGGGCGAGAAAGTGCAGATATAAATTGAGTGCCAGCATGTCCCTCTTATGTAATTCCATTATCCTAGACAATTTGCCTTAATGTGACAGTGGTAGAATCCACGGATTATAATGACTCCATTCCATCACTGAAAAAGACAGACTGGCACACAACCTGAGACACACAAACACAGACACACACACACTGCAATCATTTTCCAATCACTTGTGCAGCCTCGACACTCACACGACAACTTGTGGCTTTAGGGATGGGTATCCTTTAGGTTGTATCTATTCTGATTCTGCTCATCAGTCCTGGTTATAACGTTCATAATCTGTGGATTTATGAGTTTCCCATATGGTCTTATGATAAAGCCATAGATCACATGCAAAATACATTTACTTCAGTACATTAACATCTGTCAATGTCTACAGCATCATGAACAAATTACAGTGACTGCCTATGGTTGATTCCTGTTGTTTGGCTCCTTTCACACTACCAATCCAGATCCAGATTTGTTTGACAGGTCAGGCTAATCTGGAGTCAACCCTTTGAGATCACCAGACAAAAATGAAGATTAGATCTCTATCCATTTTCTATTTTAACCTTTTTATTTACAGTCACTGTATGTTAAATACAACACTACAAATTGTTTAAACAAGTCTTTTGAGTAGTTTTGATTTCTGTTCATATTATGTTTGCATAAATATCTTTTTTAAAGGCCATTTACTAGTGGGCTTACATCTAACACATATAAATAAATCCCTATTTCTCACTCTGTATACATAGTACATCAGTTGCAATGGCTCAAGTTCTGTGCCGTTTCAGCAGCCTGGGCTATAAATTTCTTTATTTTTTAGTGTATTAATCCAGTCCAAGCACTGCATTTTACTCAAAAGTACATTTGTTCTGTTTTACATAACGCATAGATGAAAGCTACTTGAAATGGTTGACAACAAGAGCGTGCAGATAACAGCACAGCAGTCAAAGACTGAGGTACCTCAAGACTTCCTAGGAATCCCACCATCAATCAACTTTAGAGGGCTCCTAATGGTTTCTCCCAGGGCCCCGGGGCTGACAAAGGTGTATACCAAACACCACCACAAAGCAAACTGATGTAGAGCAACATGGTGTCAGGTTCACACAGCGATCAGACTCAGATGCCAGAAACATTTAAATATGATAACATGCACCTCACAGGGTATGCTAATGCAAGGCCTGCTCCAATTACCAAAGAAGCAGCCACTGAATGCAGAGGCTGAACACTTGGGCTACTTGGACTTGTAGATAAGCAGCGAGGTCAGGTGCAAAAAAGCAGAGTGCTTTCTTGTTTAAGAGTCAGAGTGGTAGAGGCTAGATTTAGTCTACTTGGGTATCATGTTACTTTACTAAGCTGGACTGGGTCAACAGGTTCGTTAGGCTGCGCTCGGATGGGGAGAACGGGGCCTCTCCCTGCATGCTGATGCCACAGTCAGAGTTTTGCCCTTGTTAACACACATTCTTGTCTCCATCTGCACAAATCAGAGCTGCATGACCCACAGTTACCTAGCTTACCTCCCGCTGGGAGAGCACAGAGTGCAATTCAAGCCTTGCTGGGACGTAAGCCGCTATCTGTCAATCACCACGGAGCATGTTAATTGTGTATTCTCCATCAACACTTACAGAAACAGCTGGTATCTCAATGACTCACTGCAGACTGTGATAACATCTGATCTTGACTTTCACTTAGGACAGGTAGGTAGACCCTCTATAACTCAAACTGCAGCTAGCAACCACATCACTGCACTAATGTCTTCTGACTGCTACCTGTTGCATCAACAGCTTTCAAGGAATGGATAGAGGCATGTGTGATTGGCTATGATGCTGCCCAAATCTTCAAGTGCATCCATCTTCTCCTTACTACGTTCAAATACAGTCAATACTATCTGACGTTTGTCTCGGCACACAAGAAAAGATAGCTGTATTTGGGGATTGTGTGGAAAGAGGTCACACCACCCAAATCAAGCCATTTCAAAAAGTTAATAAAACATAAATACAAGCATGTCACACCAACTGGACAAAAAAAAAAAAAACTAGTTCACCTATCTTCTGGTAAACACAAATTTAAGATCCAATCAAACTTCATTGTTGAGAAAAGAAGTGTTTTGACTCCTACCAGCAGCGAGGAACTCTAATTAGTGAACACACGTGTCCTTCTGCATAAAAGCACATTCACTGGGATAAAAGCAGCAAGACAACCATCCACACACAACCTTAAGTGTGAGTAATTTTGCTAGGAGCATATTGCTTCATCCCATGCTTTGTTGAAATACATCAAACAGTGAAGAAAAGACAGCTAATTAGTACTCATTAGAATAAGAGGCAGTCCCACAACTATACAACTGCATTAATCAAAGGTTAACTATTCACATCAAACAGGAATGTGTGACAACCACTCCTGTGATGTCATGTGCTCCCATTTACCAAATAGAGGCAATTGGGCTGTTGCCAAAGCACAGTGGTAGGATGGCTATGACATGCTTGTCTCTGCTTCCTGCTTTCATGCAGCCGGCTCAGCCTGCATCATCAGCTGCTCCTGAGCTACACGCTGCTAGGAAACGATCATAGGGGGAGGGGAGCCAGACATAAGATTGAGTTCAATCTTTTGGATTTTCAGTAAACCAGCGTCAGTCTGTGTTCTCCCCGTTTGTGGTGTGCCGGTGGTGTCGAGAAACTCATTGTAAAACCACAGCTGGAAAGGTTAGAGTGCAGGGGACTTGTCAACAAACCCACAAATGACTCATCAATCTCTTCATCTCATCATGCAACTGATGACACGAGTAAACAAACTCGCACCGTGGCACACGTAACTTCTCATCAAAAACATTCCCCAGAACAGAAGGAGGCGTCAGAATACACAAGACCGAAAGGGAATCCCATCATGATATTCAAGTGATTTCATCTTAGTTTCCCATAAGACACGGTCTTCTGGTGACATCACAAAATGTATTCTGAGTTAAGTTCATAGGAAATGTCTGTGACAAACAAGCCTGTTACTATAAATACTGACTGATTAACCCGGAGAATTTTTCTAAAGGCAAACATGAGTGAATTTTCTTGTAAACAAAGTTTGTCGCAGATTGAGCTTTGAAAATTATTCATCATACACAATTGGGTGGACTGACATTAAAAAACACTTAAACGTTTGATTTTTGGGAACACTGGAAACAAAACTGGTGAACACTGAACACTCACAGCCGCACCAGGTTAGGCATGAGATGACGTTGACTTGAAGTACATGGCACAAGGAAAAAGTCTGATGGACTAAGAATTATAAAAAAATGCACATCTGGGGTTTAGCTCTAATTCTGATTGCAACCACTGTTCTTAGCCTAAGAAATATAATCTCCTTGCTGTACAGCCAGCATCTTAAGCACAATACATCTGCTATCAGACCATTAAGATAACCTCTGCAATCCTACAGGTAGGTGAAATGCACAGACTTGCCTCACTTCATGAAAAAGCAGCCCTTTCGCTGTTGCTCTGTTGATGCACTGTAGCAGTAATGTTACAGCCACCATGAAGTACCCCCCCCCCCCCCCCCCCAATCTGGCTTGTGAAGCAGCCAGCCTACCTACAGGAATGCATGGATGCAATGTTAGTCGCATAAAAATGAGTAGCTACGGATAATCCAGAAAACGGCAAAAGATGTTTGCAAGATTGTCCATCAACAAGTCCCCATTCGATGACAGACAAATAGGCTGTCGATCAAAGTTGCCATTCCCATAAATTGCGATGCAATGCTGCTGCTGCAGCCAGCCAAGCAGAGGAAAACGAGACGCTCAGACGAGAGAGAGACAGAGAGAGAGAGAGAGAGAGAGGAGCTACGTTACCTTGTGGATGTGCCCTTCCTCACATCGCAGATGCTGCATTTGAAAGCCTCGGCGGTGTTCCTGAAGGTGCAGACGCTACAGTCCCAGTAGCCGTCGTCAGCGGTCTGTTTGGCTTGTCTTTTTGGCCTTACAAATTAGACAAATGTTAAGGTCAAGTTAGTTCTTGAAATACCAGTATATTTCATTAATTAACAAGAAAGGAGATTGTGACAAACATAACACGTTGTGTAATACACCAGCTACTTAGTGCAGCACAATTATGGTGGTGTTGTCATTAACATTGGGTTCGAGTCCCGGCAAGTAGAGCTCCTTGGTTAATAAATCCTCACAGTGGCGAAGCTCCACACCGTCCGATTGTATCGCCAGCTAGGCTAGCAGGCAGGCAAGCGTTGCTAAAAATTTCGGCATCGAAGCGTAGCATGTCGGCTAACAAAACCAATATCAAACAATGTCCATTTCGACATTGACCCTCCAAAAGGCTTAATAGAGGCGGAAGAGCGTTTCAGGGAATGCCAGGCGTATCCTCTGAAAAATTTCCCTTTGTCTGTTAAGTGACTGGGTTATAGGGAGCGAGAAGCCGCCATAGTGACTGCACTATTCTAGCTAGCTGTGGCATACCAACTGAAAAAGGAGAAACGATCCCTGTGAGAGGGAAACGCATCCAAATATCGAGCCCAAAACGCATAAAACAAGTATAAATCGACAGCGGGTGAGCGCATTACCTGGTAGGGCTCTTCTTGTCGCCCATTGTGAAGAATAGTCCTTGGAAATAAGAAGAAAAAGGGGCCTCCTTTAATTGTCAGTGAGTGTAGTGGGTTCCAGATAGAGCCGCTGCTGAAGCTGTTGGCAGACAGGCTCCACTCAGCGCTGGCTCGAGGCACGGCACAGCGACTGACTGCACTACACCGCGTGACCGCCATCCAGCCAATCAGAGCGCGAGTCGGTTTAAAAGTCTGGATGGATATTTAGTAGCTATTTTGATAACTGCTCGAGACAGTTGACAGTCCTCATGTCAACCCACACATGCATGCACATTACAATGTTGTAATATCAATATCGTTCATAATGCCTGTAATAAAAATAAAATGTGGATACAACATTTAAAACACATTAAACAGAATAAAGAGAATAAAAAAAGCAATTAAATTAAGGCAACACAGAAAAGTATAAGTAAAGAAACACCTTACCACGGGTTTGTCAAAAGTACTAATAGGTCATATATATATAACAACAAAATCCCATTACAATCATACAACCAGTCTTTAGACAGGTGGAGTTCTGATAACAAAAAAACCCTGTTTTTAATTCTAATCCGTGGAAAAAGCATTAGGGATCTGCTGAAAACTAAGCAGCATGCATGCTAATTCATGGTTAATAATAATACTATTATTTGTAATAACAGATGTAACCAGAGAATTACATTTGTACAATGCCATCATAAGGTGCATCATACATTGCTTATTGAGCCTCTCCCAACTTTAAAAGAGAGGGAAGTTCTCTGGTCTGTTCTAAAGCCTACTACAGAGTTCAAACATGGCCAGACCGACACTCACACACACGGGCACTTTATGTTTCAGGTACACTACAGTATCTGGAGGAAACCTTGTGAACATGCAAATCCAGACAAAACAGCAAGGCTGTGCTCTGAAAACATAACCCTTTTTTGTGAAGTAACATTGTGGATCGTTTAGACAATGCGTCCCCCTCTTTAACTCCATAAAAGAAAGGATTTCACGTACAGCAAGTGCATAGACAGTTTTAATTTGTCCTGTATAAAGTTGTCAAGGAAGTATTTTCTTGCATGGAGGATTAGGCATATCTGTACAGAATATCTGTTGTCTTTCATCGTGAATATTCAAAAACATTACCCATTGGACTGCAGGCATTTTTTCTCAAGAGCTTTCTGGAACATCAAGATGAATGGCGAAGATACAGCCTTACTGGACACATTGTCTTCCTATATTTACTGAAATAAACATATACTGTGGACATGTTTATTGATTGATTCAAGAACCCAATAATACACAGAGGACCTCATTCATCCAAAATTTGCAAAGAGAAAGGTTTAATCACCCCTTTACCCTCCTGCCTCTGACAGGCTGCGTCATGGAATGTGTTGGAGCAAACACTGCACCTCTTGCACGCCTCCGCTCTGCCCAGGACAAGGCTCTCAGTGGGGGAGACCAAGAGTGAATCATGTAGGCTCATTAGCTGCTCTCCACAGCTCCAGGTCCTATTGTCAATCCCTCGCTTTTTCTGTTCAGAGTGAATATCCGTGCCTCCACATAAGTCTGCCCTCCGCCCAGTGATTACCTCTGCTTAGCTCATAGCATGCTGCTCTAATTGAGCTTCATCACGGTGGCCTACTGATAACTACAATTCAGTCAAAACAACATTAAGCCCTGCCTCGCTGGTTGTGTAATGAGTTCCTGGGAAAAATTTATTTGTTTTTTTTAACTTGCAAGTTATACAGCATTCACTTGCATAGAGTGTAGCAGCTGAGCTCTTTAGTATTCATAGGTAGGATGAGTCCTTCCAGCTACATATGATTTTTCTTTAGAAAGACCACAATATCTGTGCAGATTAGTTGATTCACTGATACAGCAGGGATAAAGAACAAACTAAAGGAGGCATTAACAAATATTCACTGGCCTAAAGGTGAAAGAAGTGCACTTGTGGAGCTGATTCTTCCTTCCCTCTTCAACTACACCCTTGAGCAAGGCGCTTCCATTACTCGCAGATGATTTCACAAGACAAACAGTTAGCCCTCATTCATTATTTATGAGAAGTGAATAGCCGAGTTTGAACAGCATGACGTTAAAGTGGTGAAGAAAATCTCGGTGAGATACGCTTAAAGAACGTTGAATAATTTGATATGATGCAAAGGAGGATGACAGTAATGCTAATCATGTTTGTGCAAAACTGCAAAATTTCATTCCAGTGTTACAGACTCACAAAAAGTGGAGTAGCTGTCAGATTGTTGGTTTACCTGCAATACAAAACCCTTCAGACTGAATCTGACTGCATCCACTGTCTCAAACAGCACTTTGTTTGAAGCACGCAGCAGCCTTGAATTCCAATAACTCCAGAGGGCTGCTCAGTGTCTGACAGTAGAAGATTGAGGTCGTACTGCTTCTAGGCATGAGTGTGTAAAAACGGTGTAATGTCTAGTGTTTGGAGAAATCACAGGTTCAATCTCTGCAGCAGCCAAAATTCCCGTCAAACATCATCATCACAGTGTGACAGGACGTACGCAGACTGGTATCCTAGGAAATAAGTCCATATTGGACAATTGCACACCTCTCAATTTACATCCAATGCCAACACTGACTGTCAGTGCAGGAAGACATGTGCCCTTTATGTAGGGATGGGAAATAAAGGTCGGGCTATGCTTGAAAAGAAGTCACATGTATGACATGTTGAAGTGTATATAGTTGTTCCAAATGGCCACAGTCGAAGGCAGGTGGGACTTTGTGAAGCTCTTTGACCATCAGACAAGCACTTCGGTTGAAGCTTACTACTGCCTGAATCATACTTGCCATGTGCAGATATTCTATACAGCCAGCAATTTAAAAACATTGTCCGTTAAATATTTTTTCACACTGATCGTGATCCATGGGCTCTGCAGAATGGGTAAGGTAGGGTTAGGGTCAATTTAAAGGTAAAGGTGGTACATGATGTAATGATTTGATTGATTGATTAATTGATTGATTTTATTTATAGATTATCAGACACAGGAAAAAAACCAAGATCCAAAGATAACATGTTAATGTGAAAGCACTTATTTCCAACGTGGTCCCAAGATGTTAGTAGACAAAGAAAACACGAAGAAAGCAAAAGACATTCAGCATAAAAACTAAACAAGGCAATCCTGAAATCCAAAAGCACATCGCTCCAATTTAAGGAAGAAAACCTGTACATCACAATACAAGAACAAGTAACAAGTCATTGAAAATGTCTGTTCCATAAAAAAAGTCCTAACCTTCTCATGTTCATGTTCAAACTTCATGTTTAATGGAAGAATGGAGGGCTGTTCTACAACATGTCACCAGTGTGAAAAAAGGAACTTCTGGCTACATTTAGCGGTTGGAGGGTGGGGTGCAACAAAGAGAAACTGGACTCTCACCCAGGGTACCAGTGTTCGTTTCCAGTGTAAAACAAAAAGTAAACACTGATTCTTTTTAGGTAAATTACATTACTTAACTTCAGTAATGTAGCTATTTGAACCCAAACCAGGATATTTTCCTAAACATAACCAAGTAATTTTGTTGCGTAAACCTAACCAAATTGCAACATTGACCAGTAGTTTTATTTTGAAAGTCTAACTAGACTTGCATATGTATGATTGCTTAATGGACCGGACGTTGCATATTTATTTTTGCTTGACCCCGGAGCTCAAACTCGTGCAAAAGAGTACCCATGGCATTAAAAAGCACCGCCAAGGGTGCTGACCAAGAGTCCATATGTGACGAGTTGGAAATGAGAACGGGTTGATAGTGTGAATCACAAACAGAGGCTGTAAGGTCTACTGGTCGGGATTATCAGTCAAAAGCTGATATCGGTACTTGAGAGTTTTCCAAATACTGAAACCCAACATACACATGTAAAATATCAGAAATGAAAGCCAGGCGAGTTCTTGTTCTGTCTTTTTACTTGTAAAATATAATCTGATATCAGAAACTAGTTGGTGACTCTCTTGCAGTCTTTATTTGCAGGACCAAAAGAAATCGCATTTCCAAAAGTACCCTATTTAAAGCTTGAGCAGTAAAAGACAAGATACTCAAGTATTTGGCAATTTTCAAAAGAATAAACCTGTTCAACATTTTTAAACAAGTCCTCTTGCCTCAAGTATTTCAGTTTGTATTGCGCATCCAACATTTGACCTGAATCTCAAAAATCCTCTGCAATTTTACCAGTAGAGCCCACTCTGTAATTTCAATATGCCACTGAATCATTTATGTGGGCACACAAAAAGATGCTGTGCCACGTATCTGCCTGGTGAGCTCAACCACCCAGGAAAGGAGGGAAGAAATCAGTTTCTCAAAATCTCTGTCTGGGCCATTTTGCTCTGTTTACTCGTTCCTGGAAAACATTCAGAAACTGAGGAGTGGAGATAAGATGGAGAGAGCATGACAGGAGTCAGCGAATTGGCTGCTTTAAATGCAGTGGGACAGTAGATTGTGGACCCATCCTCTCTCTCCCTCTCCCTCTGGCACTGATCCATACACCCAGAGGAGAAAAGTGACTTATGACAACATTCCCCAATCGATACGCTCCAAATGCCAGGAGAGAAAACACGGAGCTTATAAACAAGATTTGATATTATATGAAGCCTTCTCTTGCCTGCTGTATCCCAATTTTAGTTTGACTTTGTTTAGAATATGGTTTCGTCCTCCTTTGCCTACTAGTTACACAGTTTATTTTGTCCTCACAGTGATCCCGCCTTTGTCATTAAGAGCACCAGTCATCTTTCAGGTTTGTTGTGATCACTGCTGTTGCATCTGTCCTGGTTTCACTGTATTACCATGATTAGACCTACTTGACCCTCCACTTGCAGATGATGCCCATTAGAGTTTGACTGTGTATTGTTGTCTCTCTGTATCTCACCACATTTATCAAAATGAACAGGGCAGCTTTGCCTCTTTTTGTAGATTTATTGCTTTTACCCAGACCTGCCGTCTGGTTTCAGAGAGCCCTGCTGCAATGTTAAACAAATTTACTCTCCTAACAGGCACATAACAGCCCTCCAACTACTCTCTCAGTACTCTTTGCAGCGATGTTTGCGTTTCAACTAAAGCTTTCATGGATATCCAATAAAAAAAAAAAAAGTACAGTAGAAGAACCTCTCCAATATCTTATGGACAAGTGCAGCGAAT